CACAGTCTCACGCGTATCTGTCCTCCGACTTCCGCACCATCTGCTGTGGCCTCCAGGGCAGGGCTGCTGGGAACTGCTTCCTCCTACCCCTCAGGGAAACTTTCTTTGGCTCTGTGGGGACTCTGTTTCTTGCCTGACTGTTTGGATCCCATGACCTTTCAGGAGCAGAACGTTTCCTCTGTGGTGGCCAGTCAGTACTGCCAAAGAGAGGGACACTGTTAACGAGACTGGAGGTGGAGGTGACCTCGTGCTTTCCTGTGCTGGGCCAGGCGTGTGCGGGCCCGATGGCTGCTTTCTCTTCTCTCTCACTGCTTCTCTGGGCTGATGAGGGACAGCAGACCACTCTCAAGGCCTTACTTCGGGAGAAGCGGAGAAAAACTCCAGATGTATTTGATTTTCTACCTCTGACAGGAACAGTAGACTTGCTCTCCTCCTGCTGCTTCTGTCTGTATTGGGAAGGAACCCCTGGAGAGAGTCGACACTGCTGCCCTTCGGTGGGGACTCTACGACTGCTTGTCTGGGGTTCAGATCCCAGCCTGGTGGCGGTACTGCCTATCCCACTCGCAGGCCTGCCTACTGGCCTGTCTTCACTCTGACTTTGGGAAGTCCTGTTTTTGTCATCCTCTCTGCCATGATCCAAAGGGTTCATTGAAGATATTTGTGGGCGTGGTCACCATTTTGCTACTTTTGTTTCTGGCTACTGGAATAAGCACTTTGTCCTTGCTAGCAGTAGTTGAGGCACTTGTGGGATGGGTGTTCGAATCTAATCTTCTGTTCTTTCTTTTGATGAGGAGACTTTTGAAGAAAAGAACCATAATTTGTAACTGAGCATAGTCTTAACTGTTAATATCTAGTATGCACTAGATACTTCTTTATTTCAGTTTATTCCCACAAAAATAATGTGTTCAGAAGAATTCTTTTTTAAATTTAATTTTATTTTTATAAAGTTGTTCACAGTAATTGATTACCTTTAGTATTCAAACACCAAATCCACCACCATTATACCTTCCCAACACCATATTTCAAATGTTTCCATCCCGAATCCCAAACCCTGCCCTCAAAGCAGAACCAAAGTAATTTATTCTGTATAGTTTGTTATGAATAATTATGATCCCAAAAAGGTTTTTTAGAGGAAAGTGTGTGAAGATTGTTGTATTTCACCCTGTAGCCATAAAGCCCTTCTATAAGAGATTATTAACATGGTGTTAAAGGTTGAACCTTGGTGCTGATATTATATAATATGTATGTTGCTGAATATATATACAGATATATGTATATATCTATATATGTCTATATATATCTGTATATATTTTCCTGTAAGATCAGTTGCCTTCTACTTTAAACGCTACAAAATGTCATGTGCTTCTCTTGGTATGTCAGTGGTGTAAAGTGTGAGATGTCCAGGAATAGATTCACTCATGCCCGTTTGAGCATGTAGAGAATGGCCATGAGTGTGGCGGTGGTTGAGTTCTGGAAGTTTTTGGCTACCAGGGCTAGCTCCGTTGGGGCGGGGAGGGGAACTCACCCGCCCGCCTCTGGGTTGCCCTGAAACAAACAGTTTGGCACGGGGTCTGGAGGCATCTCTATGACCCAGAAGGATTCTTACTTCAGTGGGTTAATCAAACTACCTAAGGCCATCTAGCTCCTCAGCTCCTGCATCATAGAGCTGGAAATTTTGAGGGGCGGAGGACTTGAGCCTCACCCGGCAGTGCTCAGAGACCCCTGGAGGGTCTCAGAAGTCCACATGTGGTATTGGGGATTGAACTGGGGTTGGCTGCATGATTGGCAAGTGCCTTGACCTTTGTGTTCTCTCTCAGGCCCTATAGCTGGATTATTAATTCAGTTTGACATTAAAAGATTGACATCTTTTTAAAATCATCTTTCTAAAGTTCTTTTAGTACTTAAAAAGTAATCATTTATTTGTGGCACCATAAGTTATGAGCCTGTTCCCTCTGGGGTTTCATGCATATGGCGTTCCAGCACCATACCTTCCACACGCAGGAGGAATGGAGTCTGGCATGTGAGACAGTTGGGTGGAACTTTTGACTAGTAGATGGGCATGGAGGCACAGTCCTGACAAGGAAGGAAGGTCTGTCTGTTTGTCTTTAAAGCCCTTGTTTCTCTACTTCCCCCGGATCAGGGCATTCTCTGTAGCCTCTGTGCTTGGGGTTAGACCCGTGGGCTGTGGCTACTAGCTCCAGCGAGCAACGGCAAGTATAGAAATGCTTCTCCAAATGGAAGCTTTGTAGAATACGTGCGGCACACTTTTTCCTTTTAGTATGTTTGGGAACCATAAATCTATCTCCTGTTGGGGAGTAAAAGTAATTGCTTCATAAAAGAAGAAGCTCTTTAAAAGGCTGGACTCCTTTCACAAGCATGTATTTTTTTTAATGGCTGGGAAATTCCTTGCAGAGGGGGAAAAATGTCCTTTGGTACGAATGAGATCATTCTTGGTTCCTGCTCTCTGTTTCATGCTTGGGGACCAAAGGTTATTGGTAGGATAATCCCTCTGTGGAAATTATTGGCTTTTAAGGCTTATTTCCAAAGAGAAAGTTAGCTTAGCTTCAAGACTGCCAAGAGGCCCACATCCCAGTGGGCCTGAGCCAGTGGCTGACTGAGCCACTTTAGACTGGTTGTGAGATTCTTTTATTGTGGGGTTGGGGATGGGTCATACCCAGAGTGCTTAGGCCTTCCTCCTGACTCTGAGCTCTCAGGACTATATATGATGCCAGGGATTGAATCCAGGTGTGCAAGACTAGAGCCTTAAACTGCTGCACTGTCTCTGGCCCTGGGTCACATTCTTTAAGGTTCGCTTTTCTTGTACTTGAGCAGTGATATGTGTCTTTGTCCTCAAGGTCAGGATGCCTCAACTAGGGGCTGGGTGGGCCCTCAGGGCATTCTAACACTGCAGGTGAAAATTACACAAATAGAGTGTAGGGGAGGGGACATGAGATAGATGAGAAGCAATGGCAGGGTTCAAGGAGATTCAGGAATATCAGGGGTGAAAAGGAAGGATAGAGCTGAATATCCAAACCCCAGAGTCGTCAACACTGAAATCAGGAGACCCAAAATTCAAAGGTGCCTTTTAAGGTGGCAAGCTGGGGGTGGGGCTGGAGAAGGGTGGGAGAGAGACCCTGGGACACTTGCTGATGGAGGGAAGTTGACACCGGTGGCGGGATGGAACACTGTATGCCAAAAACCCAACTAGGAATGACTTTGTTTTAATGAAATATATATAAAAATTGGGGACCACCACACCAGACTAGGAGGCCAGTTGGTAGAACTGGGGACTAATGAATAAAATGAGGTTAGAGGGGAATTACACTGGGAAGAAGGTTGGCATTCCCTTCTCCGTGTTTCCCAATAACTGCCTTCTTCTAGGTTGAGAGTGATGTTCTGTGTTGGCATACTCTGTTTGCCTTCATTCTCTTTTGATGAGCAGGAGCTTCTGTGCCAGGTTGAGAATCAGTGTTCATCTTTATAAATGAATGCCAGCTCTTGGAAAGTCCCCCTCTGCCCTTCCCTTTGAACACTTGGAGACAAATCTCTCCTAAAACTAATTTCTGAATCAGTTTGACCAAAGGAAAGACTATTTCTTAGATCATAGTTTTGCTCACTGAAAGGGCTCATCTTAATTGTAGTGTCGAGAATCAAGCACCCTTGTTGTAAGCGAAATTCATTTTCCTCGAGCTCTAAAATAAGTAAGTATTCACTTCCAAGGAGGATGTTGAATTTTGAAAAGTGTAGTTAGGAAGATTATTATTTCCATCCTGGATGTTTTTAGTAAAGTGGTGAACATAGAATTGGTTCGAGTTAACCTTTATAGCCATTTCTGCGATCTTACCTAAATTATATATATTTAAGACAGCCACTTTGTGGGATGAGGAATTGTTAGAAACAAGCTGATATTTATTGACTGCTTCTTAGGTACCAGTCCTGCATTTGACCCATTCTGCAAACCACCTCTTTAGACTGGTCTAGTTTATCTTATTGTGGGGTAGGTAAATGAAGAAGGCCATGGACTTGCAACTGTTTTCCATCTTAAAGGGACTGTGTCAGTTATTCAGTCTACCCAAATTCATATATGGTTCTAGGGAACCTAGTAAGTTGTTTGATTGGGTTTTTCCTAGTTGATTGACTTTGAGTTATCAGTATTTTAAAATTAATTCTGTTACCACTGAAAAATTTTTTCTCTTCCAGTTTTGTTAATATAACCTATGTTCTGGTTTCTGAAAAGCATGAAACATTTATATTATGTTGCCTAAATAGGTATGGATAATTTTTTGGTCTTAGATAGAGAAACTGTATTTTCAGTTGTTATAGAGAGAAGTTCCCTCCCAGAGAGCCCAGCAAGCTACCAAGAGTATCCTCACCTGCATGGCAGAGCCTGGCAAGCTCCCCGTGGTGTATTTGATATGCCAAAAACAGTAACAACAAGACTCACAATGGAGACATTACTGATGTCCGCTCGAGCAAATCGATGAACAACGGATGAGAATGACAGTGACAGTGATAGAGAGAAGCGATGATAAAATTTGATTATAAGCTGCTTAGGCATTTGCTGCAGACAGATGCCTTGCCCAAAGTACCTGTGCCCCAAATAGTATTTTCCATAAGAGTTCTTTGATATTTTACTGGTCATTGGGCACATCTGATTTTTTCTGGTTATGATCTATATATTTTTTACTACCCCTTCCATCTCTGTCCTCAGGGCCTAGGTTTATTGTTGGTAGCAGTGAGTATTTTATTGAACTCAGCTGGTTCAAAGAATAATCGAAAAAATATGATAAGGAAGTGTTATCATACTTGAAATTGAGAAATTGCTGAGCGCCTCATATCAGCACCTTTGGGGAACAGTGTGTGGTATAATGCATAATGGGTTAATATAAAGAAATGCTCATGAGATAATCAGAAGCTACATATCTGTGATTCTCAGGATGAGAATGACACTGATTTGCTGATAATATATTTTTATTATTATTGTTATTATTATTCTATAGCCTCAGACGATACAACAGACTCTCAAGAGGACCTTGCAGTATTATGAACATCAAGTTATAGGGTAAGTAAAAATGGATTTGGTTCATTATTGGGGCAGAAAAGATAATTGTTCAAGTATAGCTTTTGAGTGTGTATTTTTTTGCTCCCAGTTTAACCTTATTTCATGGTATCTGGTTCTCACTTTAGCCCCTTGGATTATTTCACTTGGCTTATGCTTAATACTTTTTATTTGTCTTTTTATTTTATTTTTTATAAAGCTGTTTCCAATAATTCATTACATGTAATATTTAAACACCAATCCCACCACCATTGCAACTTGCTATCACAATATTTCAAATATTTCCATCCCAAACCCCAAACTGTGCCCCTCAAAGCAAGACCAAAACAATTAATTTTGTATTGCTTATTATGAATAATACACTAAAAATGGTTCAATAAAGTTTCCTTAGAGGAAAGTGTGTGAAGATTGTTGTGTTTCATCCTGGAGTCATTAAGCCCTTGTATAAGAGATTAAAAATATGTTTTTTAAACCCAATCAACTTATTGTATGCTGTTCTTGGTACATCAGTGGTGTAGAGTATGAGAGGTCTCATGGCTGCAAATGTGACCCCGCACTCCAGGAATTGACTCATGGATGAGGCCTATGTTGCTCTCTTCTGGGAGCTTTATTTCTGAGTCTCAAATCATGGCCATTGATGAGACTATATGGCATCAGGGGCAGTTAGTAGGCATCACTGCCAAGCTACTGGTTAACTTGGGAGCTGGGTGGAGGTGGGGAGCCCATTCCTGCTCTGACTGAGCTTGGAGATTTCAGTCATAGGTCCCACATAGGTTTTTCTGCACATTCACATATTCACTGGGTCGTCCAGCCTGTGGAGAATGGCCATGAGCATGGCAGCGATGGGATTCTGAAGGTTTTTGGCTTCTGGGGCTCTGTTGCCCTGGTGAAGACAGCCTTGTGCTTAATAATTTTAAATGAAATTTTCTTTGGACATTGCTCTTCCTTAGTAATTTTTCTCTTTTTTGTGTTCTTGCCATACCACTGAATCTTAGTCTCATAGTTTTGCCTTAGTTAATATGACTTGGTACAAATCAAGAGACTTTGAATGAATTTAGAATTCTTCAGTGAAGTTTAATCAAAATCTCTACAGGCTTACTGCAGTTCAGTGAGAGGCGTTTGTTTCGTGAGAATCACGTGCTGGGGGCGGGAACTGGAGAGGGAGTACAGGGGTGCAGGGGTAAAGGCAATTGCCTTATGTGTCACAGTCTCCAGTCTGACCCCTGACACGGTGTGACCCCCGAACAGCACCGTGGTGGGCTTTTTAGGGAGCGACACCCAGACTTTCTGAGCACTGCTTGGGAGACACCCTCTGCCCCCCCATAACATGCTAAATATTTTTCATGATTACCCCATTTTTCTTGGTTGTGAGATGTTATATAATTAACAAGGCTTGAGGTAAAATGACAGGAATTCAAGATCTCATCAGCACATAGAACTTTTCTTTTTTTCTTTTTTCTTTTCTGTTTTGGGACCAATCTGGTGGTGCTTGGGTCCTCCTGGCTCTGCATTAAGGGGTCACTCCTGGTGGGATCGGGGGACTATATGGGGTGCCAGGATCAAACCTGGGTGGACCTCATGCTTGACAAGCACCCTAGCCACTGAACTGTCTCTTCGCTCCTGGCACACAGGACTTTAAAGAGACTTTATCTTTTTTTTATGAAGGGTGATGATAACAATAACTTTACGATACTACAGATTAGGTGTTAAAATTATATGAAAGAATTCCAATAAAAGTATTTTGTTAACAGAAAACTGCAAATGAATATAGACCTTTTTAATGTAGGAGAGGCTCTTAAATAAAATTAACATTAGAGGCAATGCATATTTTGAAATTTTAAAAACATTCTGTACATTCTATAATGGTTTATCTTTAAAACATTTTAAGGACATTTGATGAGTCAAACTCCAAATTATGTACCTCTTGAAATGCTATTAGAAATCCTTTAACATTTATAGTTATTAATCATAGCAGAGGGGTTAAGAATCTAGTTTTTGGTTTTTAGGGTACAGTCTGATTTCCCTGTACAAAAGAGAAAGTGACTAAAACCTTATGAAAAATGAAACCAGGGTCTAGTACAATGCCATAGGGTTTAAGTGCTTTGTGATTATGTTAATTGTGATTCAAATGGAATAGCTATGATACTTTGTCACATCAATCCTCAGAAATGTAGTACTGGGAAAAACATTTAAACTCCTGAGATGGCTTTCACTTTTGGTCCATTAGTGATTTTAAGTGGTTTACGCTAATGTAGATAGAGAATGCTAAATTGATCTCTTCCCACATTTTATTTTATTTATTTATTTAATGTATTAGTGAAACACCATGAGGTACAGTTGTAGACTTACAAATTTTTGTGCTTGGGTTTCAGTTATAAAATAACTGAACCCTTCCCATCCCTCCACCAGAACCCATTCTCCACCACCACTAATTCCAGTATCCCTCCCACCCCTGATCCCCCCAATCCCACCTTGCCTCTGTGGCAGGGCATTCCCTTTTGTTCTCTCTCTCCTTTTGGGTGCTGTGGTTTGCAAAAGAGGCATTGAGTGGCAATCATGTTCGGTTTAGTCTACTTTCAAAATGCATCTCCCACCCTGGGCGGATTCTCCCAACACCCTTTATTTGGTGCTCCCCTCTCTATCTGAGCTGCCTTTTCCCCTAACATGTACGGAAGGTCTCCAAGCCATGGAGTAAACCTCCTGGTACTTATCTCGGCTATTGTTGGGTGTTACTCTCCTATTTTGTTACTCTGTGTCCCCCAGATGTATGAAATATTTCTATGTCTGTCTCTCTCTTTCTGACTCATTTCGCTTAGCATGATACTTCCCATGTAGTACCACTTGTATGTAAATTTCATGACTTCATTTTTTCTAACAGCTACATAGTACTCCATTGTGTAGATGTACCACAGTTTCTTTAACCAGTCATCTGTTCTCGGGCACTCAGTTTTTTTCCAGATTCTAGCTATTGTAAACAGTGCTGCAGTGAACAAACAAGTGCAGATGTCACTTCGACTATACTTTTTTGCCTCTCTGGGATATATTCCCAGGAGTGGTATTGCTGGGTCAAATGGGAGCTCAATTTCTTATTCTTTGAGAATCGTCCATACTGTTTTCCAAAAGGGCTGAACCAGTCGGCATTCCCGCCAGAGGGTCCCTTTCTCACCACATCTGCACCAGCACCAGTTGCTTTTGTTCTTTTGGATGTGGGCCAGTCTCTGTGGTGTGAAATGATATCTCATTGTTGTTTTGATCTGCATTTCCCTGATGATTAATGATGTAGAGCATTTTCTCATGAGCCTGTTAGCCATTTGGATTTCTTCTTTGAGAAAGTTTCAGTTCATTTCGTTGCCCCATTTTTGATGGGGTTGGATGTTTTCTTCTTGTGGAGTTCAACCAGTACTTTGTATATCCTTGATATCAACCCCTTGTCAGATCTGTATTCAGCGAATATCCTTTCCCATTCTGTAGACTGTCTTTGTATTTTGGTCACTGTTTCTTTTGAGGTGCAGAAGCTTCTTAGTTTAAGATAGTCCCATTTGTCTATCTCTGTTTTCACTTGCTTGGCCAGTGGTTTGACATCTTTGAAGATACCATTAGCTTCAATGTCATGGAGGGTTTTTCCAACTTTGTCTTCAATGTACCTTATGGATTCCGGTCTGATGTTGTGGTCTCTAATCCATTTTGATCTTACTTTTGTACACGGTGTTAGGCAGAGATCTGAGCCCATTTTTTGCATGTAGCTGTCCAGTTTTGCCAGCACAATTTGTTAAAGAGGCTTTCCTTGCTACACTTCACATTTCTTGCTCCTTATCAAAGATTAGATGATCATATGTTTGGGGGAGATGTCAGTGTATTCAACCCTGTTCCATTGGTCTGCAGCTCTGCCTTTGCTCCAGTACCATGCTTTTTAAATTATTACTGCTTTGTAGTAGAGTTTGAAATTAGAGAGGTTGATTCCTCCCATTTTCTTTTTCAAAAGAATTGCTTTAGATATTCGTGGGAGCTTATTGTTCCATATGAATTTCATGAGTGTTTGCTCCATTTATTTGAATTTGTACAATGCTTTGGGAAGTATTGCCATTTTGGCAATGTTGATTCTCCCGATCCATGAGCAGGAGATATCTTTCTACTTTCTCATGTCCTCTTTTATTTCCTGAAGTAGCATTTTGTAGTTTTCTTTGTACAGGTCCTTTACTTCCTTAGTTAAGCTGATTCCTAGGTAGTTGATTTTCTGGGGCACAATTGTGAAGGGGATTGTTTTTTTCATGTCACTTTCTTCTCTCTCACTATTTGCGTATAGGAAAGCCATGGACTTTTGGGTATTATTTTATAGCCTGCAACTTTACTATACAGTCTATTGTTTCTAGGAGTTTCTTGTAGAGGTTTTAGGGTTCTCTAAGTATAGTATCAGATCATCTGCGAATAGTGATGAATATTTCTTCCTTTCCTACCTGGATGCCCTTAATATCTTTTTCTTGCCTAATCGCTATTGCAAGTACTTCCAGTACTATATTGAACAGCAGTGGAGAGAGTGGGCATCCTTGTCTCATTCCTTATCTTAGGGGCAAGGCTCTCAGTTTTTCCCCATTGAGGATGATGCTTGCTGTAGGCTTGTGGTAGATTGCTTTAACTATATTGAGGAAAGTCCCCTCTTTACCCATTTTGGCGAGGGTTTTCATCATAAATGGGTGCTGGATCTTGTCAAATCTTCCCATTTTTTTTGACCAAAGTTTGTTTTTTATTAGCGAGACATCATGAGGTACAGTTGTAGACTTACAAATTTTTGTGCTTGGGTTTCAATTATACAAATCTTCCCATATTTTAAAGTAAAACCTCTTATTGAATTTATCTGTCTTAAAAATTATGTTTGTTTTAAATTAGTTATATACTTAGAATAGTTTTGGTTTGTGATACGCACTAATAGTTTTTCCTATGCTTACTATCATGATTATTATTTTTAGCAATACAAGTAATCAAATGCAAATATTTTCTAAAATTATGATTGCTCTGTTTTGAAACAAATAATAAATGATGAAATAGTTTCTATGTTAACTGAACTATTTAAAAGGCAAATTGGAGTGATAATCTCATAAATATGATAAAAATGTAGCTCTATACCTCATGGTGTCTCACTAATAAAAATAAAAAAATAGAATAAATGTAGCTCTATTATCACACTCACGGATATTTTTGTGTTTCATATAAAAAAATGACTAAACTCTTCTCTGTCTCTGTAGACATAGCATGGGATGATTCTTTTTCTCACTGTCTAAAAGGTCTTTTTCTAATTCTGTTTATTGCAGTTTGAATAATCTAGGTAGTAAATGTCAAGCCAATATAATGAGGTGTCTTGATGTTTGCCTGATTCCAAGGTCTATTAGTATATTTTTGCTTGGGTGCTGGCTAATTACTGAGTACTTCAAGAGCCTTCTTACTACTTTTACGTGTTTTCATGCTGATTAAAATGAAGAGAACTCAATGGCAGGGACGTGACGAGGTTAGCATTTCTTAAATTTTCTTCCTTGTTCTCTCAGACTTGGATTTTCTGACCAGCACCCTATTTTATCTTTTTAAATTGCACCCTGCTTACTCTTTCTCCTTTTAGTTCAGGAAATTGAAAAGCATCTATTATCATTAACAGTTGGGGCGACATGTGTTCATATCTATGGGTTCACAGTTTAAGGCATTTTATCTTAAAAGCAAAGGAATATGTTTCTCATAGTTGAAGGGATTTGAGGTGGTTGAGGAGACATGCTCTCATGTTATTTATGCGTTTCTGGGGATGCTGGAGTAGGAAGGAGATGCTTTTCCTACTTTGTGGAATAGTAAGCTTTGCCAGTGTGGAGGTCATTTGGGATGTATGGTGGAAGGGAGAAACTTGCCCTTCTCCTCTCCACCCCTTGTGTTCCTCTTCTCCCCTTTCTTTCTCAAACTCCATACTTGGACCTGTTTGTGTTTAGCAGAACTCCAAGACTGTATAGTTCTGCTCCTTGATAAATTCTTATACCAGGAGTGGGAGCCTAGAACAACTCCCAGGGACTTTTTTAGTCTCCCAGAAGCAGACTTGAATGCAGGGCACAGCTGTTCCAAGGATCCAGCAGATGGAGCACTGGGAGGGAGGAGCTGATACTCTTGTCAGAGTATCAGGAGAGACCTCTCTGTGCTATAGCTACATCATCTTAAACAGTCATGGCTCTCCTTCACTTACTGTTTCTACCTTGTGGACACATTCAAGTAGGAACAGTGATGAAGTCATTCATGCCCTGATGTGGATGGACGGACGGACAGACGGACGGATGGACAGATGGACGGATGGTGTTCTAGTTACCATCATTAACCCTTGCCTTTCACTGAGGAATTCTAGGCATTTTCTGACTTATGCTCCTGTCCTTCAACATTGTATTTTCACCAAAATAAAGTGATTTTTAGTATCAAAGTGCATACCTTTCTTCTTTCTTTCTTTTAGTGTCATAGGCAGCAATGTGTGGGCGCCTCTTCTGGCTTGGAGCTCAGGGGTCATTGCCAGCAGTGCTCAGGGGACCCTGCAGTGCCAGGGATTGAATTGGGAACTCCCACCTGTAGCCCTTTGAGCTGTCTCCCAACCCCAGTTCTTCCTTTCAACCAAAGATCTCCAATGCTAACGTGCACAAGAATCCCCTGACAAGCCTGTTAAATCGTGGGCTGAGGGGGCAGCCAGGGAGGTTCTCGGACTTATGTTTGGATGGAGCACCCATCTCGGCATTTCCTGTGAGTTCTCTGAAAATGCTGATGCATCATCCAGAGAATTGTGCTTTGAAATCCCAGCTTTAAGCCACAAAATAACTTCTTGCTATAGAATAAGATGTGGTCTGGCCTCTGCGTGCTTCTCTGATTTTATTCTCTCCACACCCTCACTCTGCTGTTTCTCAGCTACACCAAATTGGTTTAGTCTACAGTTCCATTTTCTGGAATGCTTTGTCCCCAGAATTTGGCGTGAATTTTTTTTATACCTTTGGGTTTCTGTTTAAAATATTATAAGATAAAAAAGATTGTCAAAATAAAAAGAGAATATTTCATTTAACCCCCGTCATCTAGCTTCTGTTATATTACTGATTTCTATTGTTTTTAATGTTATGTTATATCATATGTTTATTGTCTTTTTAATTTATCTTGTTTTCTGTGGCTTGGTAGGTAGTTAAAACTATCTTATTTTCTTGGGGGGGGGTTTGCAATCTGGATGAATATATTGCACAGTAGAGATGTTTAGATAGGGAATTAAAGAATTAAATTATTATTAATTTAATTAGTGGTGTAAAACAAGGGGTGTAAAACAAGGGGTGAATTATATGCAGAGTCTCATAGTTTTTTAAAAAATTTTTATTAGTGAAACACCATGAGGTACAGTTGTAGAGTTATAAATTTTTGTGCTTGGGTTTCAGTTATACAATGATCAAGTACAGTTTTAAGTACTACAATTCTAGTGTCTAGGACCTTTGCTTTGTACCATTAATTATATTGATTTTTAAAAAATGCACTTTTACATTTATGTTTACTTTTTGTCACTATCAATTAAATTTGTGATAAATTTTGATTGCTATGTAAGATCTATACATTCATCTTCACTTTTATCACCTAATAGCTTTTGCAACTTAATAGGAGGAAAGGGGGCATTAAGAAGAATGTTTATGTTTTTCTTCCTTTAATTCACGTTTCCATCTCTTCCATCTCTGTATAGATCTAGCTCTCCCACTCGGTCTGGTATGGAAAGAATGATAAGATATAAAAGGTGTGGTAGCTTACAGACAGGATAAGTTCACTTTAGAAATTAAAAAAAACCCTTAATATGCAAGAAAATCTGGTTTATGATGACTTTTGAAAACATGAGTAATATCATTGAAGTTTGTTTCCCAGAATATTTCACTTCTAATGATATGTTGAAGTTATTCTCTCTTAATATCTATTGATTGTCAAAATAGAAAGGGAACAGAAGGCTGACTGAGAAAAACAGGCCCCACAGTGAACATTGGAGGAATCAAGTTTAATTTTAGGTGATTATGGAAAATGGTGTCTCAGACTAATAAAGAGGTTGGCAGTATCCTACTTATGATATCAGCATAATGCTTATTCTCACAAAAACCTATGAAATTAATGGCTGAGTTCCAAAACAGAGCCATTTATACTTTAAAATGTAGGATACGTGACATTGTTATCTCGAAAGTTGATTATCATGTGTTTACTAATTTAGTTTTGAAGAAATCTTCGTTATGTCTGACTCTCATAGTTACCCAGATATATGACCTCTCAATTGCTCAATAGGAATCACAGCATATAAACGTTGGAGTGAACTATTTGGGTTAGACATTTAGAGTTACAAATTTAGGTTAAAAAATTCTAAATTCTGTCAGAAGAAACTTGTAGCTGAAAAATGACCTGAGGTTGGTTAGCTTTGACACTAAATTGCTAATCCTAAACTTTCAGGCTTAAAGAGGAAGGAAAAGACTATAGTAAGATAGAGACAAAAATGGATCAGTCAGATGTGAGCAGAAGTAACAATTCTTCAGTGAACATATTGATTACTTTTATGTGCCAGTCACTGCATTAACTATAAATTACATGAGTTAGTGTGTTTTTATCCATTTCCTTTGCTTCACTACTGACAACAGCAGTGACTGTTCAGTTTCTGAAGAGTTGCTGACCTTCTTGGCCTCTCCTCTGGAATAGGAGCATCCAGCTTCTGCGCCTCTGCTGGGTCAGCGGCAGCTGGGACCATCCTGCACCAGTGTTCCTTCCTTCAGCCCTTGCAGTGACTCTCAGAGCTTTCCCAGCTTTATAGAAACAGACAGATTCACTTCCTTGCCCTACTTTGCAGATAGAGAAAGGGAAGGCCAAGAGTCATGTTGTTGAATCCAGGGGCTTCCTTTGCTTGTTTGTTACCCATACACCATCTTGCTGTCTTCTTAACTGTCCACAATAGAGGCCCCGTGTGTTCACTGTCAGATTAGTGAGTGCCAGTGCCTCAACTCAACACTGTTACCTTGTTTGTTTGTTTGGACTTTTTCTTAAATGCATATCTTCCTTATTAATAATTGCTTCCTGTTCCAGGTCTGTACCTCTAACGCTGATGTTAACGGTGGGTTATATCAGAAATTACTCTTGAAAGATCCGGTTATTTTTCATTGTAGCTATGCTGATGGTATAGGCGTTTGCATGTGTGTCTGTATATTATTACATTTGTAGATGCATGAAAACATTTCTCCATGTGCTAATTAATTTTCTTCTTAGTTATAGAGACACAGAAAAGAATTTCCACAACATCTCTAACAGATGCTCCTATGGAGATCATTCCAACAAAGAAGAAATTGAAGATGTCTCAGGAATTCTTCAGTGCACTGCTAATATACTCGGTATATTAACTCTGTACTTATATGGCTAAGAGAAAATGAACAAGGGCGGGAAGGGGAAAGTAAAGGTGTAAGCGTTTAATTTACTAATGAGTGGTCTGGAGACCATGACAAAGACCTTGTCTTAATATGTGTTTGATTTCAACACTCGTGAAGAAGTTTGAGTGGAAATTATTTTTATGTCATTTACTTGGAGTAACATATTTCAGTAAGCATGTCTTACAGGTAAATGTTTCCAAATATTTGTAAGTTAGTGTTATTAATCTCATAGAATTGATTTTTCCCCTTGGCACTTAGTTTTGGCTGACAAGGTGAGCCCTTTCTCTCCCCCAAAGCGCTTACCCTCTTGTTCATATGATTGCTGCTATGCTATTATTGCTGGCCTTGGGTAGGTTGTTGAGTGGCTGACATCACGTGGACAGTACGGTTCAGTGACCATGAAGCTGTCTATCTGCTGAGGTCGTGATAAACTGTATGGAGGCAAAAGCGATTCTGCCCTGAAAGTGTTCGTATGTGTGACAGAGGCGGGATTTTGGATGTACTGACCCTGGCTGAGTGCTTCTGTTAGAACCTGCTAAGTCAAAGCTAAGAATCCTTGGCGAGCTGTGCGGTCTTAGTACTGTGTGTGTCTGCTGCTTTGTGTTATACATGCTAGAGAAGGGAGCTTTCATATCTGAGGCTTTAGGGAAAATACCTTTTGGCCTTCTTGGGATCATCTTTGGATCCTTCTGACTTCTGAGTCCCAGGCCATAGAAGGCGGATGGCAATGGTGGGGACTGCCAAGAATCGCCTCGTCTCAGAGGCAGATGGCAGAGCCGGGAGCAGCTCAGCCTCCCCCACCCCATTTCTCTTCTCTTTCTGGGAAAGGGATTCCCCCAGACACCAGGAGTTCCCTCTGCACCCAGCTTCCCTTGGACCTCAACCCGTGAGCCTACCCCATCTTCCTACACACACATGATTTCCAGGGATAGGCTGGCTCCTACCACTGGGCTCCAGGCTGCAATTCACCCTGGGGAAGTCTTATCGACGCAGAAGACTAACAAGGGGAGGCATCCACGTGTGAGCAGCTTATCTGGAATGGTTTGATGAACGCTGGAGAGTGAGAGGAAGGCCAGAGTCACTGACCTTGCCCACAATGCAGCTTCAGGGATGTCGTCACCCTGAGGAGACCCCATTACTGGAGAAAAGTGAGAAGGATCACGGTGTCCAGGCTGGAGCACTCCCCAAGAACTGCTGACAGATTTTGGATTTTTCCATCTTCAGGTCCACTAGGAACATTTATTCCTACTGGCACCCTGAGGTGATGCCCCCGTGGAGAGATGTGTCTGGACTTTATTGATGGGTGTTTAATATTCGGAAAAGTCACCCATGGCATAGCCCATTTCTGAATGCTCCCCTGTCCCCTCATCTTCTTCCCTTATACTTCTCACTCAGAGACTGATTCAGAGAGAGTAGGTGTCTGAATAGTGGCTGTGTAAGGAGGGGATGCTGAAGGTGTCCACGTTAGTACTTGCACATGATTGTCCATTCCACCCCCAAAAGCAAAACAGTCTAGGCCAGACTATTCAATGTGGTCACCACAAGGTGACAGAGGTGCCTCTGCTTGTCCACCACAGTTTTGTTATCGTTCCAGTGTATCTTGAAGTGCAGATTAAATCCGTGTCTATACAGTACAGGCAGGACATACTGCCTGATGGGACGAAGGTACCTTACATTCAATTTCTAATTTAGAAGGTGACAGGGTTTTCATGATATGTATTTGATTTTTTTAAAAGGAGATACTGAGTCTGATTTTTCTCCTCAACTGATAGGTGGCTCCTAAAATGTGGAAACCGTAGTCTGGTAAATGATCTATTTCTGAGGAACAAATAGAAATGCCTGCCCTGAGGGCACAGCTGTTGGCTCGGCTGCTCTGGGCCTGTATCAGAGGGAGCTGCTCCTCTCCTCTCGGCCAACGACTCTGGTGATGTTTAATGAAAGTCACCGCACTGTAACTAATCCTGACTTGCTTGGATTTGATCTTTTTCGACTTGAAATCACTTCTCACTTCTCTTTATTCCCTTGTGAGACTGAAAGAACTGACAGTATAAACTGACAGTGGTGTGTGTGTGTGTGGGGGGGGGGAGGTTCCTCAGCAGTGCTCAGTGCTCATGCTGTGTGGGCCTGAGAGTTCAGCCCCTAGGCCTGGTGACACAGTGACACACAGGTGGCCACTGGTTTTTCTTCTGGACCTTCACTTAGAGTTCAGTGGCCGGCATGGACCTGAAGGAGGCAAGTCGTGTGGTGTGCCTGGTCTGTCCCCACTCCCTGGGGTCTGCCTGTGGGGGCCGTGCCTTCCTAGTGACCGGAAGGGGATGGTTATAGGGGAAAAGCTCTCTGGAGAGCAACGCTTGCCCCTCATTCCTCCCGTGGGCCCAGACGCCTACTGCTGTGACTGGGCTCAGCACAGCTGCTGCGTGTCCCTCTCCGCTCTGACTGGTCCTGCTGTCCTGTGGCCGCGGCGCAGTGCTCTTCGCCACTTTATTTGGTGCGTGCCTTTCACATACCCAAACCATCTAATTTTAGTTGTCAAAAAAAAATTGTAAACCTTTTATAGCCATAATCTGCAAAGCTCATTTTTAGCTCTAATTAGCTAGTAAAAAGTGTTCCAGACTCATGTTTTTCCCCCCCCCCCCCACTGATTTTAGTACCTTTCCTTCAGCTCTTTCACTCCCCCCTCCCCCATTGTTCTCTGGTGACATCAGTCTCTTCAGTCTCTTATCACTGTCCACTGGTTCCCTGTTTTGCCCCCCCCCCCCCACTTTATTACCTTCCATTGCACATAAAGGGGCTAATACCCAGGATTTCTCCTCCTTCTGACTCATTTTCGTTCAGCGAATTCCCCACAAGTTCCTTCCGTTTTGCTTCAAATGATAAAATTGCTTTCTTTCTTTCTTTCTTTCTTGCTTTCTTGCTTTCTTGCTTTCTTCTTTCTTTCTTTCTTTCTTTCTTTCTTTCTTTCTTTCTTTTTAAAGCTTACTAGCTAGTTTTCTGCTATGTATACACGTGTCTTCTTTATCCAATCCATCATTTATCGTTGGACATTTTGGTTGTTCGATTGCTTAGCTGTTGTGAATGGTATTGCTGTCAACATTAGGGTGGGAAGAACCTTTTGAATTTCATATTATTTTTGGTAAATTGTTTTATATTGTTCCGCTAGATGCCCAAAGTGGGATTGCTGGGTTGTAGGTATCGAGCTATTCCATACTGTTTTCCAAAAATGGATGTGCCTTGTTTACACTCTCAGCAAGAGTCTGTGAGTGCTTCTTTTTTCTCCACATCTTTGCCCGCATGTATTTTGTTTTGTTTGTTTTGTTTGGCGGCCCTCATAGTGATGCCCTGGGGAGGGGAGGAATCCCACCTGCTCAGTGCTCTACCATCACACCCAGAAGTGCCCGGGGCCCAGCCAGGGGAGGCCCAGCTGCTTCACACCTGCCGAAAGTGGCCAGCTGGGCAGGCCACGGCTGCTGCTATAAAGGGCCGTTCCTGCCATCCGGTCTCCGGGGCCACTGCATGCCCTGCCTCAATCAGGGGCTGGTGCTCAGGCTGAGGACATTTAGTGGCATCAGCTTCTCCCTCAGCAGTGGTGTGTGCAGACTCCACAGAGCTGTGTACAGACCCCACAGAAGTGTGTGATGCCCTGTGTGCTGACCCCACAGAGGAGTGCGGACCCCACAGAGCTATGTGCTGACCCCTCAGCAGAGGTGTGCCTGACCCCACAGAGGGTGTGCCAACCACACAGAGGTGTGTGCTGACCCCACAGAGGTGTGTGCTGCCCCGTGAGGAGAGGTGTGTGCCGACCCTGTGTGCTGACCTCACAGGGGTGTGTGCCAACCCCACAGAGGTGAGTGCTGACCCCTTGTAAGTGTGTGCTGACCCCTCAGCAGAGGTGTGTGCTGACCCCACAGAGGTGTGTGCTGCCCAGTGAGCAGAGGTACATGCTGATCCCTTGCCCCACAGCCCTGGTTCCTTCCCTGTGTGTTAGCTCTTATCTTCTTGGTGTCTGTCTGTCTATCTGTCTGTCTGTCTGTCTGCTCCCTCTGTGTCCTGTGGAGTGCTTCTGTGCCCCATTGTCCCCTTCTCCCTGTGGCTGTGGCTCTTCCCGGGTGCCTCCCCTTGGGGAGATGGAGCCCTTCAGCTGTGGATTTTTTGTTTGGTGCTTTGACCTTATAAACTTAGTATCTCCCCATTGTTAGAGGAATAGTTTATTCAGATAGATATGTTTAATCTCTTTATTTAAAAAGGCTGGAGTGATAGCACAGCGGGTAGGGCATTGGCCTTGCACACAGCTGACCAAATTTGATTCCTCCGTTCCTCTCAGAGAGCCCAGCAAGCTACCAAGAGTATCCTGCCCAAACAGCAGAGCCTGGCAAGCTCCCTGTGGCATATTTGATATGACAAAAACAGTAACAACAAGTCTCACAATGGAGACATTACTGGTGCCCGCTCGAGCAAATTGATGAACAACGGGAGGACAGTGCTATACAGTGCTATAAAAAGATTTTAAAATATTGTACTTTAGGAAGTTAGAATAGTGTCGATGTTTATGGCACCAATACACAGAAAGGCTGCACCCCGCCCCCAGGGACCTCTTGCCTGTGTCTCCCCTGACCTTGCACTGCTGCCCTGACCCTCGAGTCTGCATTGGGAGTGGGCGCTGGGCCCAGTGCCCAGGATGGCCCGCTGTCCGGATGTCTCCATCAGGAGTGGGCGGTGGGGCCTCTTCCCCGCGTGTTAGTGCCCAGCCCTGTGCTGCAGTTTCTCTCAGCAGGTGCAGGGGCGCATCTGCTGAGTCAGTATCAGGGGCCTGTGGTTCCCCGTTCAGGGGCGCGTCTGTGCCGCAGTAGCAGCTGCGTTCCGGGGGTTGTTGCTGGCGCAGCTGGCCCTTTAGCTGGGACTTAGCTTGTTGGGGCAACAAGGGTGATGGGGAAAGGCAAGGCAAGAGGGCTGTGTGTGTTTCAGCA